CTTCATGCCTGAGAAGGTGTCCTACCAACCTATCTCGCCTATTTTTTATTGACTTCCATAGAGTCCTCTGTTCTCCTATTTTTTCCAATACCTCTTCATTTCTAACCTTTTCTACCCATGATATCCTCATCATTCGCCTGCAACACCACATTTCGAACGCTTCTAACCTTTTCTTTTCCGCCGCGCCCACTGTCCATGTTTTGCACCCGTACAATGCCGTGCTCCAAACATATACCTTCAATAACCTTTTCCGAGTTTCTAAATTAACCGTTCGCGAGCATAGAAGTGACTTCTTCTCTTTTGCATACGGTAAATTTAACCATATGTTTCCATTTAATCGTGTGGTAATGAAAAACTTTCGTAAATCTGTCGATCATTTCGCATATTATGTGAAATAAAAGATTAAAATGCCAGTTAAACGCGGTAGAAGCAAATTTTTTATGGGATGCCGGAATTGGGGATCGTTTATAGTACTGGCTGCAATGTGTCCTAAAAGCTGAAACGACGATGATGGCTTGATGTTGACATCATTTAGACAGGAAGCATGAAAAATTAAGTTAATGTATGATTTATTTTCACTCGAGGATCGAATTTAACCGCAGGAAGTGACGCAGCGCTCACTACCGCGGCTTCGCTTTATTTTACAGCCTGTTATGTGTGTGATGTGAATTTTAATGTGTTTAATGAAAGCCGTTGGTGAAAAAAGAGAATGTAAAACAAACATTTACGGGGTACTAAACCTGGAATTTGAGTACCTTTTTTATTGCTTTAAAATTTAATAAAACGCTCATGTTTCGCTCACCACTTAATCGGAAAATAAAACAGAATTTGCAAAACGATTGTTTTTTTATTTTGATTCAAAAATTACGAGGAATTTTTTTACCATTTTATGGTTTGAATTCCGTAAACTTCGGATAGCTCTGGATTCAACTGATTTAAGTCAAAAAGTGAACAGTTTTTTTTGATATACCAGTGCTGCTAATTCACCTTATAAGTGGGAGAAATTTCATATCCATGTAAATATACACGTACTTATTTTTCGTAACTACTTTATCCTGAGGAATCCCAGCACGAAGCCTTATGCATTAGCCTTCTCAAAATCAAATTTTTAAAGTTATTGATTCTTCTTCTTACTTTTATCTTACGTTCATTGTAAACTAGGACCATTATCAGTAATTTTTTTACTATTTTATGGTTTGAATTCCGTAAACTTTGGATACCTCTGGATTCAACTGATTTAAGTCAAAAAGTGAACAGTTTTTTTTGATAAACCACTGCTACTAATGAATTGTATAAGTGGGAAAATTTTCAAGAAATTCGTGACCAACTTGAGCGAAAGGATAATGCAAATTACTTGTATCAAGATAGCATTTCATTGCCCATATCTAAACGGTCATTAATAATATAATAAAACGTAACCATTTGCGACACGAATTCGATCATCCGTTTGCTAAATTAATATAAAAAAGCACCTGCTTCTTAAAGTAATTATTTGGCATAACACCTTTAAACTTCCATACCTCTTTCTTTACAACTTTCGTTGTGTTCCACACGGATGGGTTCTCGGTTCTGTAAGATTTATTGTCTGCAATTATTACGAAAATTCAGATTACCTACCTCGATTTTAAAGTGAGAGATTAATGAACATTAAACGCTCCAGCACCTGCTGCTACTGCTGCCGTTCGGCCAACAAAAACAACGAGAATATTCGTCGATAGCAGCGATAGAAGAACGCATTAACACTAATCCACACCTGCTCGCGCAAAATCAGCTGCTAATTTTGCAAGTATCCCATTAATGTTAATTGCGCTCTTAATTAAACTTGAAGATCTTTTACAGCGGACAAGGGTTAAACATCTAGAATACCAACCAACAATTACTGCATTTTCCTTTATGGGTTACAAGGTATAACCCGCGGCTTCGCTCGAGTTGATGTTCAAAATAAGTGTCAAAGATTATCGACATCATCATCATCATCATAAGGTCATCAGTCCTAAGACTGGTTGGACACGTACCTCCACTCTTTCCTATCCTGAGCTAAACTTCGCATTTCCCTAAAACTAGAACAGCCCACATCCTTAACTATTTGCGAACAGTAATCTAATCTAGGTCTACCTCTACCCCTCCTAACTCCTGTTTCTGCCTCTAATATGTCTCTGACTAGACCTTCATGCCTGAGAAGGTGTCCTACCAACCTATCTCGCCTATTTTTTATTGACTTCCATAGAGTCCTCTGTTCTCCTATTCTTTCCAATACCTCTTCATTTCTAACCTTTTCTACCCACGATATCCTCATCATCCGCCTATAACACCACATTTCGAACGCTTCTAACCTTTTCTTTTCCGCCGCTCCCACTGTCCATGTTTCGCACCCGTACAACGCCGTGCTCCAAACATACACCTTTAACAACCTTTTTCGAATTTCTAAATTAACCGTTCGCGAGCATAGAAGTGACTTCTTTTTATTAAAGGCGACACGACCCTGCGCTATCCTCTGCTTTATATCCCTACTACTCCTTCCATCCTCACTTATCTGACTTCCTAGGTATCTAAAATCAGCCACTTCTTCTAATTTTTCGTCTCCTATCTTTATATTCGCTCTTTCCCTACTTTTTCTTCCCTTGCATATCAGTATTTTAGTTTTACTTTTATTTATTTTCATACAGTACTGATCTGTCAGTACCGCTTCCATTTTATTTAAAGCTATCTCTAGGTCCTCCTTGCTAGATGCTAATACTGCTATATCATCTGCAAATCTAAGCATACTAATCTTTTGCCCTTGCACATCTATCCCTACAGTTGTACTGTCTTTAATGATGTTGATGGCGTCTTCGATGTATAGATTAAAAAGTAGCGGTGACAGTGTGCATCCCTGCCTGACTCCCTTCCTAATATTTACTTCTCTACGTTGCATCCCCAGCTCTATTACTGCCAGATTATCGACGACCACATAAAATTAATTTTGCTATCCCTCGGGAACACTTTTTTTTCAGGATAAAATGTACTCATCATTTTCTGTACATGATAGTTTCATGATAGGTTATACTTGCGACTTTTTTTGATATTAAAAGGTGTTGATAAGAAACTTGATTTTCTACAAATTATCTATGTACCTATATATATAATTTCTAAAAAATGTTTTCCTTTTTTTTCAGCAACAAAGGCCCGACCTGCCCCGTCTTTTACAACAAATGCACGCGCAACAGCTTCCAACCCATGCGGCACCCCCTATTCCGATGATGCCCCATCCAAGTTTAGCGGGTGGTCCACCCAGTACTGCTGCTAGTTTATTAGGGTTGTCGGGGGCACTCGGAGGACCTGGTCAACACCCTCTTTCCATGTTGGCTGCCAAACCCGACCTACATCGACCTGACGACGTCAAATCCAACAGCGGTAAGTCAGTTAAAATATACTTAAGTATATCTACTTAAACAAGGGTGCAAACATACATGTGGAAAGCGTGCATCATCAACAATTTTCCAGTATTTGTAACTGAGTTGGACGGTTGCGTAAATGATTCAATGACATAACAAAAACAGGCGGATGTTTTTGAATGAAGTGCTATCAGCACACAGTTTCCGGTAGAAAGACTGAATTTTAATTGGCTCTGAACAAGAAATTAACCACGATTACTCAGATTAGTTAATTATTTTTTGACATAGTCCTGTATATCTGAATGTTGTTGTAAAGTTCTAAACGATTTTCGAATTAAAAGACTGTCGTGTTGCATCAGTTCCAAGTACAGTTGAAAGGGTTTTATAAATATTTGCGGTAATAAAATGAAAGATGTTTTAATCTTGTTTAATTAAATGTGTTGGAGTTCTTTATAATTAGCATTTACTAGACGGTGTAGAATAATAAGAAGTCGTGTAGGCATTCGAAATTTATATCTATTCACCCCTTGTAACCTGCGGCAGGCAGCTCGACGTTCTCCCACTGCCCCGGCGCCGTCACTTTTTCAACCATTTTTCACACCGTCACGTACGCAGAAGTTTTTAATGACGTGGATAAGTGCCAGGCCCTTTCATGTTCCAGGTGACAAAGCTTGTTCGATATACCCCGTGTACTTGTTATTATGCCACGCGAGAGAAAGACGGCGTGAAAAGAGGAAAAAGGGTGGGTGGTGGCTGACGGGGGGAGAAATGGGATACGGGAAATGAAAAGGGACTCACTCGCGTTATTATGCACTCGTCCCGTTTTTCGTCGCTGCTGAAAGGGAGGAAAGGGAAGGCTTTCTGATGCGCAACCCAGTTTTAATGACTGCCGTTTGTATCAGATTTGCGCAAGAAGGGAAAAATTGGACGGCTATGAAGCGATCGCTTTGATGTCGTTCGCTCTTTCGCGCGCTACGAATTCGCGAGCTGTCATTAATGACTTTCCGAGAACGATTCGTAGTGTGCTACAATTCCGGGCGCAGCGTCAACGACAGGTGGGAGCGAGGGTGACGATATATGGACGTATTGGAACACCCTGCACAATATCCTGCCAGGAGCAAACAGTCTTTTGTGTAAGCCGGTTACTGCCTTTGATGAAATAATTAATGATGATCCATGTTACGAAAGTCAATTGAAATTTGTCTATAACCTTTTGGTTCGAACCGCCAATTTTTCATGTAAATCACTTTTCAATAAAATACATCAATTAGCCAGATTGATCCGTATAAATTCTTGGCTTTATCATAATAAACGGATGAAGAGGGACCATATAATATAAACTACACCGGGTGATCATAAGTCAGTAAACAGGGTGATCAAGTTGCGCGTCATCTTGTTAACGCAATGGTGTACCATTCAGGTCGATATCCAGTTTGAACATGATGAAATTTGTGGGTTTATGGTGGCAAACAGGTATGGAGGAGCGCAGTGCATGTTCCTGAAATAATGAACAGAACTATCTCGTGCGGCCCAGTTAAATAATACAATAGATATCGCAACGCGCTTGATCATATAATACTATGCTGATTGTTCCAACAATATTGTGACTAAATGCGCTATACCGGGTGATTAAAGAGTCAATATACAGGGTGATCCAGTTGTGCGTCATCTTTTGTTAACTCAGTGCTGTACTATTGAGGCCGATATCCAATCTGAACATATCGATATTTTACAATTATTAATAAATGTAATAAATATCGTCATCTGACAGATGTAATTACCACCCGCCACTGCTTTTTATCGTATAAACTTCCCTCATCATTGAGATTTTCTTAATTAGATACTGTTTTGTGTTCGTACACCCCTGTGGGGTTTGCGTTCAGTTTATCCTTATGGAATTTTGTCGAGAACGATATCTGCTATTATTGAGAAACAAGGGTGGAAATAATAAAGAGGGTGCTCTACGAAAAACGTGCTACAATTTACAATTACATCCTCTCAGACTTCTTGTTGCGAGCGTTGTCTGGAAATCGAATGGTGGAAATATTGTGCCAAGTTGAATCGTTTGTTCGCGGAAAAGGATTCTAATTAATTGTGTCGAGTTGAATGGTTCTTGGAAACTCCATTATTTCTTTTATCTTTCAACCGTTTTCATTATTGACTGAAACACAATTGATGCTTCTTTTACTTTTTCTTCGAAATTTTAATGTTTAAATTCTTTATCATGTTTCTTTGAAAGTACGCACGTAGTTTTTTTATTAAATTTATACTGGAGTTCAAAATTTTATTAGAGTATAACCAAACAATTTTTTGTCATTGACGTCTTTGTGTAATTGATCTCTTGTCGCTATGAAGGGAACGGTTTCCCCACGAAATATTAATTTAGATGCTTCGTTTTAGATAGGTAACCGTCAATTCTCGAAAAAGAAATGTCCTATTGAAAAGTATTCCTTTTCTGTGGTTTCTTTTCGACACGAAACGAGATGGGGAGTTAATCATATCGAATTGAGTTTCTTTTATAAAAAATGAAACGAAAAGGAAAGTTACTGATTTTAAAAGGAACAAATTGTGACCGAAGTTTTGATTGCGTTGAGCTTTAGAAAATTGTAAAGGGACCGGCGGTTTACGAATTACTTTCGTCAGTGATGCTTTTCTAGAAAACTTTTCTGGATTCTTCATAAACTGACGGAAATTTTTCAGCGAGAAAGCATATATAAGTAGACATTTAATTATCACGCCTTCAGGGGCGAGTCCAGGCGGAAAATTGGGAGAAATTTCACCCATACCTTCCCAAATGGCTCTCAGACATATGGAGCATTCAAAATATCGCGTGGGGAAAAAATGAATTGGGAAACTTACCCCTGAATGTCAAAAAAGCAAAAATAAAGAAATAAAAAATTTCAGTTTTTGAGGGTTACCTTGTGGTTCATCATCATCATAAGGCCGTCAGTCCTAAGACCTCCACTCTTTCCTATCTTGCGATAATCTTCGCATTTCCCTTTCTAACTTCCGCTTCTGTCTCTGACTAGACCCTCATGCCCGAGAAGGTGTCCTACTAAGTAATCTATTTCGCCTATTTCTCATTGACCTCCAAAGAGTCCTCTGTTCTCATCTCCTTGTGGTTAACTTGTCAAATATACTGTGCCTTTTTGTTTAGCGCAATTTCGCATTTTAGACCAGATTTTATTTTAAACTAAAAGAAGTGTTTCTAGATACAAGCTTGCACTTCTTTAATTCAAACTTGTGTATATTACTATTGCGTTCGGTGTGTATATTATTAGGGTAATGAAGGCAAACATTTTTTTGACGTGACAACGTCTTATAATTCGATGGAGCCGGCTGCACGCACGAAAAAACATGACTCATGCGGCGTTACCTCGCTCTGAGGCGTTCCATTTAAGGCTTGAAGTGCAAGCGAGAGCGCGGAACGAGCGACAAAGAAGCACAGTCGGCCTCCGCGTTCGGCAGCGTTCGACATCTGTCTCTCTCCTACTTGAGTGAGCGATGCGTCCGCGTGGACAGCTGCTATACAATAATACATTTCCATTTACCTCCTTCTCTATATCCATACAAAATATCTATCAAACAAATAAAATTAAAATTTTCTTTTGAAAAATGAAACCATTCCATCAGTATTTTCTTATGACGTTGTCACGTTCAACTATCGTCAGTAAACCGACTTTACAGACAACCGATTTTTTTTTTGTTTAGTTTAGCCTCGAGGAGGGGAAATCATCAAAAGACACCCCCCGAAGGGGGGTAGTGTCGGATTCGCCGTAGCGCCTACCGCCTAAAACCCCTCCTCGAGATGGGATTTCAACCTTAAAGCTGTTACTCCCAAGGGAAAATATTTGGCTATATTGGTTGGGGAGAGGGATATGTAAAAATGGGGATGGGAGTGCTTGGGGAGGGATGAAGGCAAACATTATTTCATCCACTTTTATATATCTCTCTTCCGCTTGACAAAGGGCTTTCAAGGGTACAAATCCAAGTGGTGTCACCGGCGTCGCCAGCGTCGCGCGTCGCGTCGCGTCGTTGACTGTGTCGGATGCTTGACAGTGTTCTTCTTTTTCTTTTCGAGAATAACGATCGGGTTGCGGTGTGAACGAGTCCTTTAAATCGTTGTTGGCAGCTTAGCGACGGGCTTTCGCTGCCTTTCGTCGGACCACAAAACGTCGCAGAAAAGGAGATCGTGAAGTGAAACCGGAACAAACATCTCGCACCAACAACGTCAACCGCTGACACCACCCTGGTTACAACCGCGACAGGAAAACCACCCTCTCATTTTCATTTTTCTTTGTTCATCGCAAAAATTAATCTCCTAGTTTTACGTTTCGTTCTACATTCAAAAGTCATGATAACCATTACTAGTGAAATCTCATTCTATACTAAAGACATGAATATTCCATTCCTCTCTATCTCCTTCTATCTCCCTTTTTATGCTGCCGTAAATATATATATTTAGATACGTTATAACGTCGAGATGGTGTGAAGAATTCCTTTAGCGTTTAAAATGGTACATACAAAATGTTGATAAAAGAATGCTTCTTTTATTAAAGAAATTATATTTTCTGGAAGGATTGAATTCCATCGCCAGGAAGAGCATGGAAAGTAAGTAAAAACCATCTATTAATCGAAGTACTACGATATTAAGGTGTTTAGGTACCATTATACTCTCAACGTCTATAGGTACCTACACATATTTTCCATCGAAACGTTGCAGTGTAAGTCTGAACATTATTACCTTTCTTCGCGTACAAAACATTTCGCTAGTGTCAAAGGCAGACACCTTAGCGTTATTTGAACAGACGGAATTCAATGAATTCACTCGAATACTTGCACGGAATTCTTTTACCAAACAGAGCGTCATTGCCTAGAGGTTTAGACCATTGCTTAGCGTTCGGGAGGAAGTTGGTTCGATTCTCGATCTGTCTGCCTTGGTCCAAGTATTTCTGGGTTTCCTTGGATCACTTAGGCATATGCTGGGGTAGTAATATTCCATCGGTAATCTTTCATTCTCTTCTGTCTTCATTTCGTTTGTCTCATCTTTCTCACCCGAACCACCCACCCATTTCCACGATTCCTGAAACAAGGCTGAAGAGGGCCTTCCGCCCTACTTTCCAGCGTAGTCCGGAGGGACTGCCCGCCCAGTAGCATTAACGGCTGGTGGGAATGTAACACCCAAAAGTATTTTTTTGTCTTTGACCAAATGGTATTCGAGCACATGCTGCTGAACAAACAGTCAAACAGTTCGAAGGTTGCCAAAGATAAATACGTTTATAAAGACACAAGGATGCCCGTTGTAAAAGGTCATTATTGACACAAAAACTGTAGTGCTTTTTTGACATTGACTCCACCTTGATTCGGTTTTATAAAAACTTGTTTCATATAAGGCAATCTAACTGCAGTTATTCGGAACATTCAGTTTCATTTTTGGCTAATGAAATCATTGAAATAGTTCGTATTTTTCCGTTTGTAATAAAAAACATAGGCTCGAACTTTGCTTGGACATACAACTAATGCAAATAGCAAGCAGTAATCTAATCTCGGGTGCGAAACATGGACAGTGGGAACGGCGGAAAAGAAACGGTTAGAAGCGTTCGAAATGTGGTGTTATAGGCGAATGATGAGGATATCGTGGGTAGAAATGAAGAGGTATTGGAAAGAATAGAAGAACAGAGGACTCTATGGAAGTCAATAAAAAATAGGCGAGATAGGTTGGTAGGACACCTTCTGAGGCATGAAGGTCTAGTCAGAGACATATTAGAGGCAGAAACAGGAGTTAGGAGGGGTAGAGGTAGACCTAGATTAGATTACTGTTCGCAAATAGTTAAGGATGTGGGTTGTTCTAGTTTTAGGGAAATGCGAAGTTTAGCTCAGGATAGGAAAGAGTGGAGGTACGTGTCCAACCAGTCTTAGGACTGATGACCTTATGATGATGATGATGAACGAGTTAGATAATTAAATTGCCTTAAAACAATATTTTACTGGTTTTATATTGGCACCGTAATTTAAGTACTTCTTCCGTACACCATAAATTAGGTAACTCCTTATATATACATCACATAGTTCGAGTGCATCGAAATACTTTGGTCAATATAACGTGCAAAATTATAACCCTCTTAAGTACCCACGATTGGTAGCCGGTAGCAGTAGCTTTTAATTATAATCTTGACGTTATCCTGTCTTTTTTTTTTGCTTTATTTCACGACCGTTTTATCTTTCGCATAAATTTTATGGGCGAGTGCTTTCTGGAGGCGGAGAACGATAGCGAAAGAGCGAGAAAGAACGAGAGAGAGATTGCATTAAGTATTTGTTAATGTTGAAATCTCTCCAGTGTAGGCAGCCAGTAAATCGAGAAATATTACCCGAGGGAGTTAGAGCGCCAATAAATCTAATTAGACACTTGATGGAATACTCGAACCGAATAGGGTCGAAAAGAGTGAATTGAAGGTTCGAGTGGCGAAATAGGTGGACGAATGGTGAAAGGATGTGGAGAGAGGGGGTGGGTTGAGAGGAAAGGCAGGAATGCAAACAGGGAACCCGATTGGAAAAGAGAACGATCCGGTGAACAGTCTACTTCAGATGCAAGGGTGCACAAGTGACAGGTCACATTCAAATCGCACACGATGACGATAAGACGACATAAAGGAGAAGTATACGGCTGAGTGGTTGTGTTGAAAGGATATAAGCGACATCTACATACATACATACATACATACACACACAGATGCATATGTGTATAAGACTATTCGAATATCTTTGAAGTTACAGATATTCACAAACGAAAATTCCGTTCAAACGTTAAACAATTTGGAAAAACGATCGGATCGGTCGAATTTTATTTTTAACTGTTCATTTTTAAACAAATCCCAATAAAATCCGTTAGAATACTCATCCATCTCAACCAATTGTTAACAACGAGATTAATTAAAATCAGTAAAGAACTTAAGTATCATTATATATGAAGGGATGAATGCTATCAGGGGTGGATATGTGGTGGTCTTACAGTGGTTCCTACATTTTATTCTCCCTTGCTTCATCCCTCCATACATTTCTATATCTAAGGATTTAGCACACCAAATCGTTTTTTGGTCGAATTGTTAACATTGTAAGCATTGTATCATGTCAGGATGTTGTTCAAAATTTTATACGAAGTTAAATTAAAAGATTTCATAACTATTAGTTCATTTAAGGGAAAGAGGCATTCAGTCAGTCGTTTTTCTGATATATTAAGGATCGAATTGTTATTGGATGAATAAGTGGATGTTTCGTCATCAATTCGTGACAACCTGTATACGTATAAATGCTTACATCGTCGTCAATGGCAACAGCCGTGCATCTCATGATTATTCTTTGAAAACGGATGCATCGGGGTGGAATCGGACGCGTCCTATGATATTCGGTTGGCATGACAACCGCAAACATATTTTCTCAAACTCCTCACGGCGACATGAATTCTTGAAGAGCGTATCGCGAAACTATTTGTAACAAAATGATATTGAAATGACGTAACCGATCTTCTATTCCATATTTACCCCTTTTCTTCCAGGAAAATAGGATATGCACACTTCAACGAGCATTTCACATATTCAATGATTACACTGTAAAACTTATTACATGTAACATATACGTTTATAAGATACCTAATAGGGTTATAAATAATCAAGTCGCGGCTGTTATTATGGAGGCTTCCTTTATAACGTATGTCCTTAGTGTATACTTCTAATATAAAGTACAAAAGTTTCTATCGTTATAAATAAATATTAATTTGATAATTCATTCATTTTCTGCTATAAATTACCTTAATTTAATTAGAAAAAAATTGTTGTTGTCGTCATACCTTCGCCGGGAATTGAACCCGGCACCTTTGTCTTCGTAGCTTAGTGGAGCTTAAAGACAACGGTCCGGGGGTCGATTCCCGACAAGGACAAGGAATTCTTCCTCGTAATTTGAGTTAATTTGTAGTGGATAAATAATGAATTTTCAACTTAATCACTAGGAATATCAATATGTTATAAATAAATAGACACTAGAGAAAGTAAATTGAAATAATTTTTCATCTTAATTTCATGAAGTAACGTCTTAGTAGTGAATATTGTTGTTCCCACTTTTTAAACGAGTCCTGTACAGTAATTAATGGAGTAATACCCATCGTGGTAATTGGACTGGATAAAACAGACTGCGAACGTCATGAAACGGTTATGTTTGCACCCTTCTCGCAATCAGCCCGGCCGTTTACCGGGTGTAATGTTCAGGAGCTATTTGATTTAACGAGATTTGTTGTTTGTTCCATGTTCGTGTTTGTTGTCGTTGCCCCGACGTCGTCCTCCTTGAATCCTGTCGTTGTTGCCGTCTACGTTCTGCTGTCGCTGCAAACGCTACTGCTACTTCTGCTCCTGCTCCTGTTGTCGTCTGATCTTCGCTTGTTTGCTGCGGTTGTCATGGTGCCGCTGTCGTATAGCAGAAGAACGACACGTAAGTACCTGCCTCTACATGTACAGATATAGGTGTACCGTGTACCATCTCATGCAGCCTTTATTCAATTCGATTTTATTGCCCCTCTTATTGGTCTTCAACTGATTGATGTCGAACTGATTTTCGTAATACACATTCTTGAATCCTCAAATGTCGGTCGCTTTGTCCTGGAAACGATTTAAGGGTTCGTACAGACGAACGCGATTTATTTCGTATGCAGTGGCGGTACACAATAATCGTCCAATACATAACAACAACACAGTATCGAGTTACTGCAACTGAAATATTTCAAATACTTGACCAACTGAAACGACGTGGCGTGCTGATGAGATCAAATAAGTGTAAAAATGCGATACATTTCTGACGAAGAAGAGGAATTTGGCCGACCTTCGAATGAAATAGTAGCGACGTTTGAAAGTGAATTTAATTTAGAAATTTCCCTGCCTCATTTCCTTCGAGAGTTGGCGAAGTTGCATTAATGCGAAAGCCTCAATCATGTGAGTAATTGATTCGTGACCAGTTCACTTTCGGGTGATTTGCTTCGGCCTCAGATACTATTGTACATCCACGCCCATGCTCGTAATTCCATTACATGCATATAAGTGCTTACGTACACGCACACCAGCAAACACACGGCACGGTTGTAATAATTATGTTACGCTTTATTCGCGAAAAAAGACATTAGCAGCGTAATAAATCAAGCAAGCGGTTGGCTGCTATAAGCTATAATATACATATGTACGTAAATCGGATCTAGACAAATTCGCCCTTTAATTAATCGCAATATTCTTCGTAATGCGCTAAAGTGAAAGAAAATTCTTAAAATGGCTCCTGCTTTCAAGTCTGATGGTTTTAGAGATTCATTCTGTGAATGGCGCAATGGTTAGAGCGTAGATCTGCCGCGCCATATTACTCGAGTTCGAATCCTGCAATGTGGTTAGCTTTTTTCTTGTTTTTTTTTTATAATATGTAGTAAAGAAATGTTAGTTTACAAACTACGAACATCAATTCGATGAAAATAAATCTAGCTGGACGTTTTATATCTATCCTGAGTAGAACTTGGTCGCCCAGATATTATTTAAAAGACTACATATACGTAAATATTCACGTTTCGCCCTTGTTTATATCGAGTTCCAATATTCTACGTAATAAGTTGCTATATAAATATGTTTGCGTTAGGAAGAAATGTCATTAAAACTGTATAAAACGTTTATAACCTTTAGACGTGATGTCAATCGTGAAGCCCTCCAGGGTCGTCTCCTGGCGGCGACGATAGGGATTGGGGACGAGTGCGACGGCGGCGGCGGCCCTCCCCGCGACGGATGAAGGGTGACAAATCACTGTCCAAATAAATGGGGTGCTAGAGAGAGTCGGTTTTCGAGATGAAACTTTTTCTTTTATGCGTTGCGGTTTGTTTGCGTTGTCACAGACGTTTTGATAGCTAATATTGGGAAACTACGTCGAATCCTTTGTCCTTAAAATAAAAAAAAAGGGAATCGACGAACTGCTTCGCAAAGTTTAAAAAACAAAACGTTATTGTAGGCGAATGATTTTTATCTATATTTTGGAATGCTTAGAAAAGGTTGTAGTGATTATAACACTGATTTAAATGTCCAATTTTTATATGATAAAACCCATTCACTTGTTACCAATTGATTTCAACNCGATACATATACAAAAATTCTGTTTAAAAACAATTTTCTATTTTATTATTAAATAAAAAAAAAGTCCTTCCCTTTGTACATTTCCTGGCAAATTCGCCTGACATTACACGCTTAACGGTTGGCTTGATAGCCCCTCTGTCACTGTTATAAAAGCAGAATAGCATCTGGAACAAAGTAGGCTTTTAACTTTTTCAAAGAGGCTTTTCGAGAAGGCTTTGCTTTTGATTTAAATTTCCGAGTAGAGTCAGAGAACGACCGAGAGTAATGCGATGTTGTCTCTTTTTCCCAGATTTAAATAAATAAATAATTCGTACCGTCGGAAAAGAGTAACAGCGAGATTTTTAGACCTCTCTTAGACTTTTGTTTTAAATATTTAAATAATGAAACCAGTTAATATTTGAATACAAATTATTTTTGAAATATGAGCAATTTACCGGTAAATAATTTTCAGTTTAGAAGGTGGATATGTATATATGTATATGTGAAGCAGTTGTAAAGCGAAACTTGGTATGTCTAGGTATATATGCTTTAAGGAAATGCCATCAAGGCATCTCAATTTCGAGTGTAAGATGTGCTCGTTATTGCGTTTCGTGCTTGGCGTGAAGCAATCTCCTCGAAAATTCAAAGGAGCTCACGGGCAACCTGCTCGACTTCGTCAAATTGACCCCTTTGGCTTTGCTAGCAAGACAGTAACGCGAAGGGAGAGTTAAAAGCCCTGTGCTTTCTCGATTCTATCGCCCGAAGCAATATCTTAAATTAAAATGACAAAATATATGCTACCTGTGTAAGTACATAGGTATAGAAATTGAAACGATTTATTGTAATTATTTTAAAACCTCCTCCGCTTTAAAAATTTTAACCAATTTCTCCACACAATCATCACATAAACGCATTATCTACATTTTACGCTTGGAAGGGTAGTAATCCGGTAAATTCATTTTCTTCAGTTAATATTTCCCCCGGCGATGTGGCGTGACCCCTTCCTCATTTTGTCGCAAATCCCTTGTCGTAAATTGACCCTCACGTCGTCCTCGTCGTATTGGCGTCATCGGGGTGACAACCCGTAATGTTCTTTTCCGTCGCAAGTAAAGAGACTTCGTCAGTGGCAACGGCGTTCAGCGTATTCCGTAGCTTTATGTGTATAAAGTGGTGAAATACACGTCAAGTCGCACCCTCGTTCTCAATTACGCCATTAAGCGTTTGGTTCTTCCCCGATTTCCCTCGGGACCACGACAAGCTTTCGCGCTGATCGAAAGGTAGAAGCAGAAAATGATAAATTCCACCCTACATGTGATATTGCTTGCATATTTGTAAACGATTCAATTTTTAATCGCATTCCAGAGTACAAAACTGAGATATTGATGCATTTTGCAAAATGAAGTCCACAAGTGAGGCGCATTCTATAAAATAAAGCCTGAGAAATCCAAAATGCAAAGCTCTTAGATGTACCCTAAAATACAAATCCAAGTACAAAGTCTAAGAAAAATAAAACCCAAACTCTAAGCGAAATCTAGAAGACGACGCCCAAGTACTAGGCGAAATCTGGAAGATAAAGTTTGAGATACAGACGCAATTTAGAAAGCAGTCCAGTTCTTCGGCGCTTTCTATACCACAAAGCTCAAGTATCAAGCGCAACCCAGGAAGCAAAGCCTAAGGCAGGCGCAATCTAGAACAGAAGATCAAAATCCTAGGCGTAAAACAGAAGGCGGGACCCAAGGACAAGGCGCAATCTAAAAAGCAGTGCCCAAGATACAGACCCACTCTAGAAAAACAAGGCCCAAGTCCTAGACGGAATCTGGAAGATAAGGTTTGAGTTATAGACGTAATTTAGAAAGCACTCCACATCTTCGGCGCTTTCTATACTACAAAGCTCAAGTATCAAGCGCAACCCAGGAAGCAAATCCTAAGGCAGGCGCAATCTAGAACAGAAGATCAAAATCCTAGGCGTAAAACAGAAGACGGAACCCAAGGACAAGGCGCAATCTAAAAAGCAGTGCCTAAGACGCAGGCGCAATCTAGAAAACAAGACTGAAATCCTAGGCGCAATGTAGAGGACGAAATCCGAGTGTTGGACACAATGTAGAAAGCAGTGCCTAAGACTCAGACGCAATCTATAAAACAAGACTCATATTCTAGCCGTGTTGTAGAGGACGAAGTCCAAGTGTTGGACACAATGTAGAAAGCAATGCCTAAGACAAATACGCAATCCAGAAAACAAGACTCAAATCTTTGACATAATCTAGAAACGAAGCCCATATAATAGGCGCAATCTTTAAAGCAGTGTCTTAAATACAGACGCAATCTAGAAAACAAGATTCAAACCGTAGGTGTAATATAGAAGACGAAACCGAAGTACTAGGCGCAATATAGAAAGTAGTGCCTGAGACACAGTCGCAATCTAGAAGATAAGATTCAAATCCTAGGCGTAATCTAGTAGACGAAACCCTAGTGCTAGGCGCAATCTAGAAAGCAAGGCCCAAATCCTACACGCAATCTAGAAAACCGAGCAGAGCACAATTCCTAAGTGTAATCTGTACGACAAAGTCCAAGATCTTATAGATGCCATAGACCAGGACCTTAAGTTTATTATGTGAAAATGTACGTTCTTCTACGTTCTATTTTTCCAGTTTGAAATCAATTTTCTTTAAAACATCATGACTTACTATTAATTATTTTGGTGTGGAATTTACCCCAGCTAGCGTTTCTGTCGCTACCCTCATAACGGTTCATCATTTCATTTGGTGTATCATATTGCTAGTAGATACAGCCAGTTTCCCTGGTTTCGTCTATCATCCCCTGTTACTTCTCTACACACACGCGTGACACACGTCTGTCGCCGGGGTGAATAATAAACATTTAATCTGTTTAACCAACCCTGCCTTGCTGATTTCGAATTTGTACAATTCTCTCTCTCTCGATCCCCTCGCTCAGGACGCTATAATATTGTTGTTGTTCGCAAAGAGTCAATGTAACAAACCTGCTTAGTTTTTACAAAGCACGCTACGTGGTATATGAATGTCAGAACGTAATTAAACCATGAAGGGATGAACCATGAAGGGTTAAAATATCGCAGATGCGTGCATCGGCTTCCATTATGATGGAACCGATTCCGATATCTATCGTTATTATTATTATACTGATACGAATGTAGATATGTAACTAAATTAACTTAATGATGTCGAGCGCGTATTTTGCCGATCCGTGTCTGTCCAGTTGGCTGATTATTAATTATTTACACTGTAAACGTGATGTTTGCTGGAAAATCGTTTAATTAATATTTTAACAATAACGCAGTATTCTCTGTGTGCGTTAATTAAAACTGTTATTATTCGAAAT